AAAATCAAATTAAAGAATAAAATATATTATACAGAATAAATATAAGATCTATAGGAATAAATAAACATTAATACAATCTTTTCTCAAACTTAAATAAATAACCTTACTGGTTAATTTTTAGTATATATATATATATTTTTTTTTTAACTTGGCAAGGAAGATGGTGATTCTTTATTAGATATATTTAAAATACATATATAATTGTTCGAAATATTTTTACAACCTATTACTAAACTATGTTAACCTAATACAGAAACCCGACAACATTACCTGACTGCCCACATGGGTGCCCAGATATATCCTTGTTGTACCACCAGTGTGCTATGACCAAGACCAACACTTGTAGTCAGAGTATCTCCCAACTTTAGAGAAGCATTGTCATTAAACCGCTAAGCTGGTAGAAGAGGATCATACCCGTACTGATGCTACTTCTGCATTCTGAAACTACTATATCTAGCTAAATCTATGTTCCATGCTTCTACTACCTTGCTTCTGTATAACTTTTAAATTGGTAACATTCAGGTTATAGATCTTTATGATCTTCCAGTTTGGTGTACCATGTTATTGTTTTCCCTAAGGTATTTTGATATTGGTCCAGGATCTGCAGGAACTCGTATCTCAAGCCAGAAACTGCTACCTAGTTAGGTTCACCACATGATAGTATTAGTATTTCATTGTCAAGTAACCCCTATCACTTATCTGCCTAGATACTACTAACTTGTTTTAAGCCAGTTTCTACTACCGTAGCTTAATCACAGATGCTCCAGATCTTAATGTTATACAGTTACTTGGCACCTTCTTCAGTTCTTCAAGTACTACTTGCTATGGTGAGTTTAGGACATATTTCACAAGCATCCAGGACAATTCTGATTATACCTAGGGAGTTCACCAACCCTAGTGATGCTATACTACTATATAATGCTTGCTCCCAGCATATTGTCATACAATACTAGGACAATTCTGGTTATTCCTAAGGAGTTATACCAATCCTAGTGATACTATTACTATTTGTTATTGTAAACTCCAGAGGTTGGTAGATCCTAGACTTGTTCATTATAGACTTTCATATAGATACGACCAGAGTCTAATTCAGTATCTTTATACGTACACAGAATATCAGACAACCTTCATAGTCTTAGCTTTTTATAGTATTTTTATTCTGCTTTGCAAGAGATGCTTCTGATTCCAGTAAGACCAATCTTTTACCACAGACTGTCCACATGTTCACCACTTTTCTCACTACTTCCAACTTTGGTTATAACGATCACCCTCCCAAGCAAGTACCCATATTTTCTTTCTAAATAAAGACTTATTCGCGCAATTCATTGATCACCCTTCCAAGCAAGTACCCCACAAGTTGGATGTAGGGATGTTAGTATTGCCAAACTTGGAGATACAAGGATGTTGGTACTGCTCTGTCTCTTAAATACTTATTTACGTAATCTTCATAGTCGCAGTCTTCTGTAATATCATAGTTACACATAGTACCAACACTCTATATTTAGGTCTCTTTTCAAGAATTCCTATTTTAGCTTCATATCTGCACTTGGACTTGGCTACAGAGCTTCGCGTTCAATTATAGTCCTCGAAAGTTACAAAAACAAATAATTTAATTTGCCTCCAGCCTGACTTGAACTGTCGACCTTGTCTGTAGGAGGTTTGAGAGCTTAACCAATAAGCTACGGGACCCAAACCTTGTTAATTTTTAGTATAAGTGGGCATATATAATTATTATATAATTATAATATATAAAAAGTAACTAGTTTAAACTAATTAAGTAATTTTATAAATTGTTAAAGTCAGGGTTAAAATTAGAATTTAAATTAGCTCAAATTAGTTAGATTTTATATATTATAATCTTGTAATAATTTATATATACTCATCTATACTAAAGGAGATCCAAATTATCTTATATTTATACAAAATTTTAGTGCAAATAATTAACAAAAATACATAGCTAATTATTAAATATATAGCTTCATTTAATATAAATATAATTAAAATTTTGAGCAAAAAAATCTTAAAATATTAATAATTTAGTTAACTGCTTTTTTTTACATTTTTTTTTATATTTTCTTTATATATATATATATATATTTTTTTTTTTTTTTTAATTTATTTTTCTAATTTACAAACTAATTCAAATACTTTAAACTATAATAAATCATATATTTATAAATTACTAATTATTCAATATTAAAGTTTTGTAATATAATTGTATAGTTATCTTAAAAAATCTAAATTATAAAAAGCACTCTTGTATGAAAAATATAATAACTTATAGAGAGAAATAAAAATCAAAATAATATATAAAGGAATTTGTTAAATGTAGCAGGTTGTGATATTGCAGATTAATATACATTTAAAAAAAAATTTAAAAATTATTATTAGTTAGGGTTAGGGTTCGAGCTAGTATTAAAAGACATAAATATATGCAAAATTAAGTACTGAAACTTTTAATTAGAAGCCCAAAACTAGTTTATATAATAAAATTTTGAGATATTTGAAACTTTGACTTTTTTCTTAATTTTTTTAATTTTTCATTTATTTTTGTTACACGAGATCCTGTGATCTAATTGGTCGATCATATTAACCTGTGATATAGCAATCTGCGATATTTAACAATATCCTATATAAAATAAAAAATACTATTAAAAGTTTTTTTTATATACCTACTGCCCAATTATCTAATATGATTTAGAACTTTAGTACTGCTTTTGTTACTCAAATACAAATAATTAAGAAAATAACTTTTCTTATTTACTTCTATTAAATATTTTGTACAAAAGCAAACTGTTAAAATTATTAATAATATAAATAAGAAATTTGCTAAATACTAGAAAACAGTATTATTACAAAATAGCTATAAATATTAAGTTTAGATATTTTAAATAATTTTAAATAATTAAATAAATTAAAATTACTTAAAATTTTATTAAAATAATCTATATTTTTTTTTATTTTAGCAATTTTTCTTTATTATTTAAATTAATATAGAATATAACAAGTATACAATATACAAATAGAAGCTAATAAAGTGTGGCGACTTAGCATATTCAGAGTTTGAATCCTACTATCGACGAAATTTAAATTTTCTGTTGTGGAATAATTACTGTAATGATAAATTAGATTACTAATCCGTAACCAAGATCGTATCAGATATTTAATATATCTGGAAGGATTATCAGATATTTGTGCAATATATAAGTTATACAAAGGTATACAAGCCAGTATTAGTCAGTACAAATCTATGATAAGTCCTGATAATCTGTGTAAAGCCAAGGAATTGAAGTTATGGATACTTGCTTAGCAAGACCAAAGTAGAGAGATAGCACAAATTTTCAACGATACTATATAAAAGATTATTATTAGAAAAACCAAAAAACAAACAGGACTAAGATGTATAGCAAAAATACTACACCAACTAGGCCACTAGGGCCAGAGAAAAAGGATCTGCTTAGTTGCAAATATAGAGGACTAGTAACTTTCAGATGAAAGTTCTTTCTAGATTATCTAGATTAAGAGTTTGGACTAGCTGAGTTAAATCAGAAAAATTGAACGAATTAAGTATATAGGCAGGTACTCTACTAACCAGGTTGCTAGTACCGAAGAAAAAGAATCTGCTTAATTGCAGTTACTAAGAGACTAGTAACTTTCGAGTAAAAGTCTCTCTTGAATTATTTGGATTGGTAGTTTGGGATTTGGTGAGTACTTTTAATAGTCTGTAAAGTTGTACTGAGGTTTGAGTGAACTCTACAAGAGCAAAAATAGATAATGATAGCAGCTTTAGCTTACAAATATTTGTTTTTAGACTCGGCATAAGTTACTGAAGTCTAGGTTAACTAGATTGTAGATATAGGTAGCTCTAGCAGGTTTACCTCAAGAATAAAATTGTTCTAAGGTCATAACGAATATTAGTTTAAGATTATGTATATAGAAATATATATACGGTTGATGCAGAACTGATACTGTAAAAGTAATCTGTTAAATATAAATAAAGTACTGACCAAAGGGGTCATCTTAATACTAAAAAAAAAACAAATAAAAGCTAATTTACCTTATAAATTATATATACATATATTAATAAAAAATTACTCAATTTGTCTTATTTTTTTTTTTTTATTTCAGTAATCTTATCTTTATTTTATAAATTGAAAGTAGATTACAAAATGCTTTTAACTAGCTAAGCCTATATATATATCGCTATACTTCTATATTCCTGTTCAAATAAAGATTCTCTCAATCTGTCTTATTATCGCAATAAAAATCATAGCCGAAGTTAAGAATTTTATGCTAGAGTATAACCCAGAAGCGACCTGTCTAAATGACAATTTTCCTCCTTCCAGGATTCTTAACTTACTGAGAATGTGACCTCTAGATATCAACAGATAGAAGCACCGATCTTGTCAGAATCACTACTCTATAATAAAGTGCTGCCAATTTGATAACACTTTCTTGTAGAGAAGTAAAAAAAAGGTGTAAAGGTAAAACGAAAATAGAAAAAATGAAAAAACAAAAATATATAAGAAAATGACCAAACTAAAAGAAATCTAAAAAACTATTCTAAAATCTAAAAGAACTTGTCTACAGATATAAGAGGTTTTCAGAAATCAGCTGATTTCAGGGTGGGTGGTAGTATTTTACAGATCCGATCTGAAGATCCGAATCTGAATCAGATCTGATCTATCGGATCAGATCCGGATCTATGATTTATAAGATCTGTCAAATTCAGATCCATATAGAAGTCCAAATCAAATACCTGATACTATACTATACGCTTATTGGTCAGTAATAATATATATAAGTATGCTGATCAAAACGATAATAAAAAAAAATTATTACTTGCTCCAATACTAGAACAAGATTCATATTACTTTTTAAATAAGTTTCATACAATCTTATTAAATAAGTCTTATACGATCCTTTTAAATAAGTCTTATATGATCCTTTTTTTTTTTTTGTCTTATGATTTTTTTTTTTTTTGAAACAAGAACATTGTAATGCCAACTCTGTCTATATCTTCTTATGAGGAAGATTATGAATCTATACATGGAGAAGAGTATAAACTAATATATGAGGAAGAGTATAAACCAATGTATGAGAAAAAGTATAAACTAATGCATGAGGAAGAGTATGAACCAATGTATAAAAAAGTATATAAACCAAAGTTACAATTAGATAACTCTGAAGTTAGTGAATCATCGCAAGTACAAAAGTCAAATAGAAGTAATTCTACATATACCAGGTAATTAAAATATTATAATTGTTTAATATATTGTTTAATATATTGTATTAATAGTATGTTTCATAGATCT